GTGCACACATAGTGGTGTCTTTATAAGGCGCCCTTCCTCTTACCCTGTAGTGGTACATTCTCCCTCTGCACAATTTGTTTGTCGTTCGATGAAGTCCCTAGTGCGCCTCCCTTTTTTTAATCACTTCCGCATTTCGCACTGTTCTCAACAGATGTAATCTCTCGTTCTTTGTCTTCACTGTTGCCTTCCTCTTCCCTCGGATCTGTCCGTGTTCTCGCCGTTGCTGTCTCCTTCCGGATTGCTCTCCTTTGCATCACTTCCGTCACCTTCTCCTCCTTCTTGCGTTCTCTCATGTTCTATTTCTTCTGACATTTCTTCGCCGTTGTTTTCTTCTTCGCCTTCCTCCTGAGCGGTGGTTCGTAAATCGTGTGACCCGCTGAGGTCGATTGCTTCAGGAGTCCTGTCTTTTCTGTAAATTATTCTCTTCTTTGTCCTCTGTTGTTGCAGTTGTGCTTTTTCATGTCGTCTTTTCTTCTCTGGCGCTCTTGGGGGCTGCCTCTCACTGTCGCCGTGTCTCTTCCACCGCATGGGACTCGCGACAGCTGTTTTGTTGTGTTCGACCAGTTTTTCCGTCTGCTTTTTCCGCGGCGGGACAGAGAGCACTGCTTGTGTCCCGCAGACTGTGTTCGTCTCCTGTCTCTTCAATTGAGGAATATCCCTTATACTATGTCTTTGCTTGACTGCCTTCTTGTCTTCCTTTGCTGCCCTCTCCCCCTTCTCTCTCCTCCCCGTGGACTTCAAGGACTTGCACAGATCCTCGTACCTTGGCTTCAGAGTCATTCTCTTCAGCGTTATGAAAAGATTCTGACATGCACAAATTCACAAGCACTCACGTTAGACATGGAATGATTTTGGCACATGGAACGACCATTTGTCATCCGATGCCATCATACGCGACATTTTCACACGCAGGGAGAGAGAGAGAGAGAGAGAGAGAGAGAGAGAGAGAGAGAGAGAGAGAGAGAGAGAGAGAGAGAGAGACGAACGTTTTTTGCCGTTGTGACATGAAAGACGACATTTTTTTTCTATAATACATCACGCATTCAGCCATCAAGTAACATGCACAAGTTGGCTACCGAGTGCCGATTGGCTTCTCTACGACATGTGAGTTTTGTATAATTGCACGCGGTTGTCAACTTTGTGTTTCAATGTCGGGTTTCTATCATGCCCTTGTAATTACGAACTTCCACTCCGTATTCCGTGTATGAGATCTTTGAAGACATTGTCTATGTCACATGCTGCTCCGGTGTTATATCCTTTTGCCATTGCAGCGCACTGTGCAAAGCGCTGTACCATCGAGTGACGAAATCTCTCGACCGTTCGTTCGTTGACCTCCATCGCGCTAACAACTTCTGTTATATATTTTACGGTTATGTTCATTCCGTTGGCCACGTTTGCTAGCTTTCGCATCAATTGTGTTGCCAAGCAACAAACATAAACACCACAGTCGCACATATTGGTCTGTTGCGAACATTCCGCATATACTATGTTGGATCCAAGTAGATCTCTGCATGTCACCCACGACGTGTCCATGGTCTCGGTAGTCAACACCCCTGCTTTATCTGCCTTGTTGAGGTATTTATACCACAAAAATGTGCGCAACGCCCTCCATTCCTGTTGGCCACTCTGTTGAAAGGAATCCATGACGATTGCAACAGGTCGTTTCTGGCCATCATTGTCCTCCATGACTGCCAAAAACCAAACGACATTCAGTAGCAAGAGCAATTTCCAATGTTTTTTGTGATTCACAGGGATGAGAACAACAGCTATCATTCGCAGTTCATTACTCAATCGATGCAGCTTTTCAGGTCTACTTTTGATCCGCTCCTGCCATCCTGCTTTCGAAACATAAACCTTCTGATTGTTGATCACTCTTGTTTCCTCAATCTCATATTCGAAATCGATCGGTAAAGAAGAGTCTTCGAACCCTCGTTCCCGTTGTTGTTCTGTCATCGTCCAGTCATTGAACACATCTTCTTCTTCTACCTCCTCCTTCGACATTGTGTTTATTGGAGAACGCACGATGGAGGCTGTTCTCACAATTTCTTCCCCTGCTGAAGCGTGTCCATCTGTTGCATGAAGTGCAACATCTGCTTCACTGGCCACCAACTTCCATCCTTCTTCCCTTGACCTATTTCTGTCCACCTCAGAAGTCGCAATGCTGAGGCGATGCAAAGCTGCCATGAACATTCCATCCCACAATGGAGTACCACATACGACATCATCGTCCACACTCCGCACCCTGTATGTAATAAGGTCCTTGCCCGCCAGTGCTTGCTCTGTCACATCATGCAATGCCTCATGTATGACATTGAGATCGCCAGGTTTCTTTTTCATGAAATCCACCAGTTGGTCGAGTAAAACATACTCCACCCCGTTTGCAATAATTACCGGAAGTTCTTGGAAGTCTTGCGGGGGAGCTTGCGGTATGTCCTTCAAACGCGAAAGTACTAAAATTTCTGCTGCACCGCTCTTCATCTCGTCCTTAGAACCTTCAACGAGCATTCCCCATTTCTTCGCCTGTGTCATCAACATCTGCTTGAAATCGGCTGGCATGTATATTCCACCCTTCTGCTGCTTTGTCATATCCAAATCGCCTTCATCGGACATCCCTTCTGTGCACATCCAACCAACCACTTTTCTCAAACTGTATGCACTGCTATCAGCAGTGTTGTCTACACGCAAATCATGCGCCTCAGTGAACCGTGCCAATAGCATCCGTGCTCTGAGTGACTCCTCTCAGTTCGCAGCGATGCTTGCACGAATGTTCATTCTGACATCGAAGTAACTCGGCACTCTCTCCGTGAGTAGTCTGAGCTCCCCGTCGTCATCGTAGTGGATGCCCTCCTCCGCGTATTGCATCACCTCTTTAAGAGTTGTCCTCGCCTGCGCCGCTGACATCGACATGATGGTTGTGCTTTTGTTTATGTGTCTGTAAGTAGAACGGCAAAACGATGATTTCAAGCTCCGTGAGGGTTTGTTTAATGTTGTATGTGTGTCCCTCTGCTCGAAGTATGCGGTCGTTCAACGATGTCAGTCAGTACACGGACATCATACGAGGGTTGGCTAGTGGGTGTCATTTTTTATTCGAATCATTGATATCGAAATGAATCCGGCACGCAGTAGTCAACTCCTCCGACACCCCCATTTATGACCTTCATGTGAAGCATTGTACATATCACAGGGCCAGGAACCATTCATTCATAAAGCTATGAAGGGCAGAGTACAACTTACCTAAGACGAAATAGTCCTCCGCCAACATCGTGTGTGTGTGTGTGTGTGTGTGTGTGTGTGTGTGTGTGTGTGTGTGTGTGTGTGTGTGTGTCTACGTGCGTATGTGTCTGTGTGTGACTGTGTGTGTCTGTCTGTGTGTGTCTGTGTGTGTGTCTGTGTGTGTTCTGTATGTGTGTTTGGGTGTGTTTGTGTGTGTCTCTATGTGTCTGTCTGTGTGTCTGTGTGCATATGTGTGTGTATGTGTGCATATGTGTGTGTATGTCTGTGTATGTCCGTGTGCCTGTGTGTCTGTATCTGTGTCTGTGTCCGTGTATGTGTGTGTCTGTGTCTGTGTCTGTGTCTGTGTGTGTATGGGTGTATGTAAGTATGTCTGTGTATGTCCGTGTGCCTGTGTATGTCCGTGTGTCATACCAATGCCATGGAATGTCTAAAACATGGGAAGTTTTACAGTCACTTCCCGTCACCACCGCAGATGTCATCAGTGTGTTTTAGTTGCGAGTGTGCACGCTGTAGGGACAAGAAAAGAAACAAAGGGAGAGCAGGACATGGGATATAGGAGCAAGAGAGTGAGGGCAGGCTTGAGTTTCAAGGTACGCAGGAAACAATACCTTCCTCGACGAAAGCAACGACGTACACTGTACACTGAGTGCTTGGGAAGATGCAGATTTTGGTTCGACAATTCTGCTTCGGTGGTTCAACCGTGCGGCGCATAAGACAACACAAACAGACAGAGAATTAGTGAACAGTGTGTCACACACACTCACACAAACTYTAAGACAYACACAGACTCTCGGTCATTGATGTGTTATGAGCATCATTATAACCAGTATCCAATAAGACAGTCAAGAGTTCCTGGATTCAACGCTCAACAAAGTATCACGTCYCCTTCGTTACYARAAGTTATCTRCCCGGCGCTGTCTGCGCTCATCATCAACAACACGAATTGCGAAGTCCACGTAAGAACAAGTCCTCTCCACATATTCTCTTTGCTGTGTATCTCACAATGGCAGAAGTTTTCACACCATGAAAACGTCAGTGTGTTCACAACATGCATCGTCAACAACCAGAATGAGCACAAGTCTTCACTGTTATGAACTTGGTTGCCTGACGAATTTTATCGCCACTCACACACACACAATCTCACACATGCCCATACATGCATAAGAGAAGGGGAGAGAGGAGACAAAGTCCACACTGCACACAGGTGAAAATAAGTAGCGGAAGACAGACATGCACAAGTGGGGAGAGGTCACACAGTGTTTCTCACTCTCTGACACAACTCCCAACAACCAATCACAAGAAAGAACCTGCGAAGATCACAATTGGAAAGGTCACTGATGTTGAGCAACTCATACAATTATCGTAACAGAGTTTGTTCTAGTATGTCGCCACACTCAGTACTCACACCCCACTCTCTATCCTACACCCAGTTAGTAGCGCTGCATCAGAACAGCCTCCCAGAGGCCAGCGCCAACCATCCTGATGAAGAACAGGTCCTGCGATAAAGTCTTCAGTGCCGATGGACAACTCTGACGAAGGAACAGGCAGCTATGGCTGCCACCACCCAACGAACCATCACTGTAGAGCCTCGGTCCAACCCGGCCAAAAGTGCTCACCCGGTGGGCCTATCCTATCTATCTTCTCTCTAGACCTAGACCGGACTGACTGTCCGACCGGTACCGTTGCTGCTTCGGCCTCTCGGCCTCTACCAGACCCGGCTATAGGCTATAGGACCGTCTAGCACACACACACCACACAACACACAGCACACAGCACACACACAGTACACGCACACTACACTCAGCACACAGCACACACAGCACACACACACCACACAACACACAGCACACAGCACACAAACTCACACACACAACTCACAACACACACACACCACACACACACACTACACAACACACTATACAACACACACACACACACACACTACACAACACACTACACAGCACTACAACACACTACATAACACACAACACACAACACACTACAGCACACTACACTACACACTACACAGCAAAACAGCAGACAGCACACTACATAGCACTACAACACACAACACACTACAACACAACACACAGCACACTACACAGCACCACAGCACAACACACAGCACACAGCACACAGCACACACACAGCACACACACACTACACTCAGCACACAGCACACACAACACACACACACTACACAACACACAGTTTGACAGTCACTCACACACACAGCTCACATCACACACAGTGCACACACACACTACACAACACACACACATACACCACACAACACACTACACAACACACAACACAGCACACTACACAGCACGCAGCACACTACACACTACACAACACACAACACACTACACAACACACAACACACTACACAACAAACATCACACTACACTACACAGCACACAACAGTGAGCACACAACGTCGCTGAGTATTGACTCAACACCGCACCTACACACTCATACACATTATATTTGTGTTTGTGCGAACCGGTCTCAGCGCAGTCTTCACTGTGTTCTTATTTGCGTGCCATGCTTTTCTTTGTTGGATTGCCTTTGCGCAGCGCTCCTTTCCTCTTCGACGACCCCGCTGGAGTGTCACCGCCTTTGCGTGCTGCTGTTGTCTTCTCAAGCATCCCCCTCCCCGCCTGCGTTTCCCTGGTGACCTGCCTTGCAGCATTCATCTGCCGTAGCTTTTCCGCTCTCTTCTGCTCGTCGATAATGCCTTCATATTTGTATTCCCAGCGAGCCTTGGCCAAGTTATCAACCAGCCTCAGGTCCTTCAGCAGGATCGTCACCATCTTGCAGTGGATAGCAATGATTTTTGTTCTCTCGAAATGGTTGATGAGATATGCTTCGGCCGCTTCTAGCAACGCAAGTATGGCGTTCATCTGAAACCTGATAGATTGCCCTGGTGCGATTTCTTTCTCAACAATCTCGCGCACGACCCTCATGAACGGCCTCAAAGTGATGCACAAGTGAGTAGATCGCTGGAGTTGCCGAATTTCTGCCAATGCTGCCATCCCTGCGCGGCGCCTGCACTTTTGAACCGGGGCAGCAGCTGCTTTGGAAGTCTGACCTCGATCTGGGACATCTTTTTGTTTGCCTTTTGCTTTTGTTGAACTCCCAGGTTCACGAGGTGGCCTAGATGTGCACTGCTTCTTCTTCTTCTCTGCCCTCCCTGTCACGTGCTTCGCAGGGGTGTCACCATCGTCGGGTTCTGCATTAAAACATCCCCCATCATTTGCTGTTTCCGGGTCATCGACCTGACTTTCCAAATGTGAAATGTCCTCTGCTCTGTTGTTGGTTGTCCATTCGATGCAACACGAGTGTCGTCATCACCCATGTGTTGAATGTGCCGCAGCAGTCCGTCTATGTAGGTGAGTTGGAAAGGGACACCCAGAGGGTCTCTGAATCTCATGCACATCTGTTCACCATGGTCATATGTCATGGGACAGACGACAGGGACCCACCCAARAAGTGATGTGCACCCATGTCTGCGTCGAACGGCCTCCAGAAACATTCCATCTGTCAAGGGCCGCGCTTGCTCGGTGCACGAGTCTTCCACGATCGACCACATCGCCTGGTCATTATGGGAGTCATATCCCATGCACACCATCTRCCGTTCTTCCTCCCTTATCTTCTCCCAGCAACGCTGCGCGTGTTCCTCCAGCAATCTTTGGTCCTTCACATGAGGATTGCAAACGGAGACACGTGTCACCACCACCAAGAACTGCCAATGCTCCACAACGCCAGCATGCATCCAACCCAAGGGCAGCCACTCACCAGATTGCATTCTTGCTGTCAGTGTCACTTTGCCATCAACAACTGCTGGATGCAAAGAACCAGGTACCTAATTCACATGGTACCCGTAAATGTCACGACCCACATGCTGGTACAACTGCCCTTCTTGAATCACATTGGCCGCAATGTTACTGGCTGCAACCACATCCTTCCGCATTGCCACATGGTCCCATACGTCCATACAGATGCCATCAAATGTGGCTTCTTTCCCCCTTACGTGGACATATGTGATGCTCTTCTCACCACCAAACACCGTTCCTTCAGCCAGGGCCAACTCGACAGGATTGCTAACTGGCGGGTCGAAGATGTGAGCATCGCGCGGCCGGCATGTCACCGCCTCCTTTTCGTCTGCAGTCGCGTCTCAGTCCAAATGACGGAAGGAAAACATGTCGTTCACGTAATGCGTGCTCCATACATTGCCCATCATATCACGCACTTGCATCTTAACACGACCGTATCCAAATGGGATTGCAGATGGCACCCAACCCCACCGAGGATCCCTTCTTGCGTCGTCCTGGCTGACTGGCGTCCCCCCCTTGCGTTGCTGGCCACCCAACACCCACTGCTGTCCGCAGTCAAAGTTGTCATATAGGAAATCGTTTAGCCGCAACTCACCCTTTGCCTGTAGAACATGGTACATCTCCAATGCATATCAACTTACATCGTCAGTCGGTGCCCCATCATTCAGCCTCAACACTCTAGCATAGATAAATGACAGACATACGTTACGCCATGTCTCTTTCTTTGGGGCAGGAACAACAACCCACTGATCAGCAACCTTGAAAGCAAAGCAATGCACAC